ATCACACACACAAACATGCACACATCCGCACACGCGCACACAAACACGGACACACAGAATGCCTTGTAGTTTTGATAAAGCAGCAGCTTTCTCTTTTGTTTCGCAGCCGAGCAGGGATTAGGCAGTGCCGGTCTTTGTCCTGCGGTTTTCCAGTTGAGCAGAACACAAGAGCCTCTACCTCCACTAATACAGTCAGACCTCCCAGCAGGCCTTTCACCACACAGCCGCTAAGAACCTGCTGCCCAAAAGATGCTTTTCAATGAGTTATCAAATCTCCTCTATACTGTCCATGCCTTTCAACCGAGTCTCTTTGTCTATTCTTTGTCTATTGAACGCATCAAATAGAACTGATGGGCAGATAGATGGACAGATAGATGGACAGCAGAATGTAGCAGAGCCATATTAACCTCATTCAGACGTTGCAGAGTACAGTGAAGGTAACAGTGGTAAAGTTTAAATACACTGTTGCATCTGAATGTACATATACAGTAGGTATGTACAAGTATAACATATAAAAACTATTCTCAACTATTTATAGTGAATGGACAACATGGACAAGCAGTTTTCAGTAAAAGGAATCCACTACCTTTTTGAGAATTAATTTAATAGTTTGAGACATTTATTAAGCATAAATGTTAAATATTTGCTGATTCAACCTGCTAAAATGTGAAGATTTGCTGCCTTTCTTTGTTTATAAAATCTTCAAGCAAGTATTTTGGGGTTTAAGGCTGTTGGTCAGACTAAACGAAACATGTGAACACGTCACCTTGGGCTTTCAGAACTTTAACTCAGGCATTTGCTCCTTTTCGACATTTTACAGATCACCATTCTTTTAATCGAGAAAATAATCAACAGAATCATCAATAATGAAAATAATAGGTAGTAGCAGCTCTAACAGTAAATATACAATATCGCAAGTAGTGCTGAAACAATCAGTCGTTAGTCAACAGGAAAATTAATCAACTACAATTTTGATAATCGACAAACTGTTCTGAACATTTGGTACTTCCAGCTTCTTAAATGGGAGGATTTATTTCTTTTCTCTGTTATACAAAATATATCACATTGGAAGGAATTTGAAGACATCACCTTGGGACCTGAGTACATCTCTTTTAAACAAATCTGTCACAGAGTTGAGTGTTTGTTGAAATCCACTCAGTTCACTATCAGTATTTAAAAGAACTTTTAAATCAATTGAAAATAAATTTAGTTGAGGTTTTTCAGTTGATAAGCGCAACAACTTTGTCTTCTCCTTTGTTGGTAAGATAAATTACATAGGAGCAAACATCATTCCCTCATTTCCCCCCCAATATTTTGTCCTTCCATGGCCACCAATCCTTGAGGGTTTTCATCCAATCTCACTACAAGAATTCACAAATCTGGTTAGTAATATGAAAACCTCCTCTAGTCTCCTTGACATTGTACCCACTTCTTTGTTAAAAAATGTAATTGGCTCTATAGGACCTTTATAATCAATAACTCATTGACATCTGGTCATGTCCCAGCTTATTTTAAGCAGTTGTTCTGTTCAACCTATTCTCAAAAAACTAATTTTTGCCCAAGAACTACAGGTCTATCTCTAAGTTACCTTTAATAGCTCAAGTCTTTGAAAAAGTGGTTACTATGCATCTTACAGTTGTCATAGACAGGTCTCAAATAATCTGGTGAGCCACAGTGAAGCAGGAGAATGTTCTGTATTGTTACAACTGGATTTCAGTGCTGCTTTTGATACTGCAGACCACCATAACTTGGTTGAAGGGTCAGGCAGTGGGTGGGTATCTCTAGATCAGCCTTGGAGTGGTTCTCTCTTTTGCCTTTTGGACAATACTTTCTCAATTAATGTTCATAACTATGCCTCATAAACTTAAACATTGTCTTGTGGTGTTCCCCAAAGTTCTGTCCTGGGTCAGATTCTGTTACATTTTGGGCAGATGACAGAACATTTTAAATATATCTCAGACTATTGCTATGAATACGATGTTCAATTATACATCTTGTTTTAATAAGCAAATGTCTGCTGTACAAAATTGGATGGCAGATCATTTTCTACAGCTAAATGCTAACAAAAATAAAGTTCTTATATCTGATCTAGCTGGCTTTGTCTCAAACTTGATAGAAAGTCTTGGTTCTCTTTCCTCTTCTGCTAAATGTATGTGTTTCTATATAACCATTTTGAGTCTTGACCAGCATGAAAATGGTCTGGTTCACTCCTGTTTCTACCAGCTGAGGAACTCAGGTCTATTGTGCCCCTAGCTGAAATGGAGACGATTATTCAAA